CAGTGTGCCCTGTTTCAGAAACATCGAAGTAAAGTTTTCCCGTTTTGGTTGTTGGTTAATAAGATTCCCGTTTTGTATTTGCCCAAAATACTGTTTATGTGTGAACCGAATCATCCCCTGTACATGATAATTTATTTATGTATTTATTTTCCAAATTAGCGCTCTATAGGAAATGTGAGATCAACCACAGTTCAGATTTTCCAGCTCATATTGCAGACCAACATTTGTTAACCAAAAAGAATACAAACAACACGTTTTCATTCTTGTCACTGAGTCCTTAGACTAATCTGTAAAGACAAAGTGAACCCAATGGAAAAGCCAATAATTTGTTCAGGGGTAACATTATTGTGTGAATGCCTATGAAGGCATTCACACTATTGCTTTTCTGTTTAATCATTATTCCATAAGTTTTTTGGAAGCTATCTACTCCCACAGGTTTAGTGCTATATGAACATGTCATATATCAAACCGTTCAGTTTTTTCAGGACAATATGGCAATGACTTTCTTTATTGATACAACTTTAGCTTTTGGAGATATTTAGCCTTTTCTGCCATTTTGGCTGTCATAGAAAAATGAATGGAGCTCTCTATAAACAGACCAACAGCACCATCTGCCTGTTTTCAAAAAACCCTACGCATTAACCTTACTTTGGCCTAGAAGCATGACATTTGGTACACTTGTCCAAATCTCCAAGATGGAGCATGCTGAAGGGGCGGGGCCAGACCTGAAAGTTTGACCTCTCGCCATGAAAAATGAAATGCTAATAGTTCATAAATGAAAACTGTCTGAAACATCAAACCTTCAGTGATTGATCCACATCAGGTCCCCTGCAAGACTGAATGGTCAAATCATGACATCACTTAAGCCACGCCCCCTAACAACAGGAAGTGCAAAGTTTTACATTTAACATCCCAAGCTGACCCCTGTGATCTAATCAGCATGAGAGTGTGTCCAGTGACCAAAGACATGTTGGTGTAACTTGCTTTCTAACACTGACAGTTTTGGGTGGAACATGTGGGCGGCATGGCGTGGCGAAGTAAAACGTAACGCCGTTGCAATACGTTTGGCTCTAAAATCCACAGATTTCAGCCGAGGTGCCTCAAAATCAGTATGATCGATCATTATCCACCCCTTGAACAGGCATCCATGATAAGTGTCCAATAGCCTCCACAGCGCCCACTAGCGCCACCTGCCACTTTTCAAAATACCCTACATTAACCTTAGTTTATCGTAGAAACACAAAATTTGGTACACTTCCCCAATTCCACAAGATGCACAGAAAACCCTCTGGCACCAACGTTGTACAATAAACAGAAAAGGTGACCATTTTGGAATCCTGACCAAATTTTCACACCTATTTGGTGGTTTATAGCCTGCACATTTTTCGCTCAATCCTTTTCAAACTTAGTCATTTTGGTCAAGAGGTATGGGGGACGAAAACTTATCTAAACGGTGCGTTTATGAGCATGCTGAAGGGGCGGGGCCAGACCTCAAAGTTTGACCTCTCGCCATGAAAAACGAAAAGCTTATAACTCCTACACGAAAACTATCTGAGACATGAAACCTTCAGTGATTGATCCACATTCTGTCCCCTGCAAGACTGAATGGTCAAATAATGACATTGCTTAAGCCACGGCCCTGACAACAGGAAGTGTAAAGTTTTACGTTGAACGCCCCAAGCTGACCCCTGTGATCTAATCAGCATGACAGTGTGTCCAGTGACCGAACATGTTGGTGTAACTTGCTTTCCAACACTGACAGTTCTGGGTGGAGCATGTGGGCGGTGTGGCGTGGCGAAGTAAAACGTAACGCCGTCGCAATACGTTTGGCTCTAAAATCCACAGATTTCAGCCGATGTGTACCAAAATCAGTATGATTGATCATTATCCACCCCTTGAACAGGAATCCATGTTAAGTGGCCAGTAGCCTCTATGGCACCCCCTACGTTTTACTTACATTTATATCTCGGTCATACATCATACGATCTGCAGCAGATTTTTTGTGCTTGATCAGTGAGCAATTATAGACGCATTTGTATTGTTGTTTAACTTTTGACTCAAGTGCGCCCCCTAGATTATTCAAATAGTTATATCTCAGTGACATATCATCTGATATGCACCAGATTTTTTGTGCATGATGTGTGAGCACTTGTACACACATTCTAGAGACTTTTTTGTTTTTGTTTAACATTTGACTCGAGTGCGCCCCCTACAATATTCCAGTAGTTATATCTCAGTGATACATCATCCGATCTGAACATAATTTTTTGTGCTTGATCAGTGAACACCTACAGAACTTTTGGTATTGTTGATTCATGACATTACTTAAGGCCCACCCACTCAGAGAATAAACTGTCAGTTATTGAGTGACTCTTCCAGCTTGACCCTGTGTAATTTATAAAAACGAAACTGTAACTGTTGATTACGACACGACATGTGGAAAAGCATATATGAAGTGCTCGTCAAACGTTAGTACGCTGTGGCAACCCTTAAGAAGGGAGCAGCTGAAAGAAGACAGAGATTAGGGGCAGCTGTGGCTGAGTAATTAAAGCAGTCGTCCTCCAACGGAAGAGTTGGGGGTTTGATTCCACTACCAGTCAAATGTTGAAATGTCCCTGGGCAAGACACTGAGCCCCTCATAGCTTCTAATGTAAGTCCCATCAGTGTATGAATGTGATTTAAAGCACTGATTAGTCTCTACAGATTCAGATTATCTTTGTAGAGATGTAGTAGAGTGTTGTATGAATGTGTGTGTGAAGGTAAATGAGGCACAGATTGTGCTGTAAAGAGCTTTGAGTATCTTGATTAAATAGAAAGGTGCTATATACAGTAAGTACAATTCATTTACAGGGGGAGCAGGAGTGAGTAATGAGACTGAAGAGATGTGTGATTTAAGCACATTTGGATTTTAGAGTTAGAGTGTTGTGGAGTGAGTTTAGTGATTATTTTAAACCGTTTTAGTGTGTTTGAGTCAAAACAATGAGGCATTTTTTAACATGAATCTGCAGCTTCTGTTAGAGATGGGAGATGGTTCTGCAGAGTCAGAAACTTCTCAGACAGAATAGGCACAGACTTCAAAGAAGAACTGAGTCTGACAGAGTGAGGACTTTAACAAGGAATTGGGAGATCCATTATTTGTTTTAGAAGAGGAAAGAGAGGAAGATCACACACATTCCTGCCTGTGAATACACACTCATACCTGTGAATACATACTTCTTCCTGTGAATGCACACTCCAGCTTGTGAATATACACTCATGCATGAGGGGAGCAGGGCAAAAAGTGTGTGTGCTGGGTGAGTGGGGTCCTTCATGATGCAGGTGGTCCTCTTCCTGCATCTAGATGTACATGTATGTGATGGTGGACAGGCTGATTGGGAGGCTGAATACACATTTCCTGCCTATGAATATACATGTCTTCCTGTGAATGCACACTTCTTCCTGTGAATATACACTCCTGCCTGTGAATACACACTTCTTCCTGTGAATATACACTCCTGCCT